GCGTAAGCAGCTTTGTGCTTGTTTCAGCTGCTGTAGCTGTAGGCCCTGGGGCTTGTGATATTCGGGGGGAAAATACTGGAGAGCCTGTGCAGCCTGCACAGCTTGCAGAGGCAGCCTCATGCTAGTGTGTGCTATAAAAGCTGGAGGCCACTGAAAAGGAAAAGGATTAGAAGTGACAGGAGGAAAGACTGAGATGTGAGGGCATGTGTTGCAAGCGTAAGCAGCTTTGCACTTGTTTCAGATGCTGTAGCTGTAGGCCACAGGGGCTTGTGATATTCGGGGGAAAAATGCTGCACAGCTTGCAGAGGCAGCCTCACGCTAGTGTGCTACGGTAGCTGGAGACGCCGGAAGAGCCTCGGTGAAAAGTTGAGCCGAAGCGGGAAGCGAATGAGGTTTTGCTGCGGTGAGAACTGGGGCAAGGCTCAGGCTCGTTTAAGACCTGCCGCTGTGACCCAACGCTCGAGGAGAGCCGAGCCTTGTGTGGGACAATGATAGTGTTGAGTGGGCGAGTTCGAGGCTTTGCTCGATCTATTGGCCGCCTTGGCTGATTTGCAGGATGAAGAATAGATCGTACAGATCAGCTTTGTTTACCCTCCGTGAAAATGGTTCGTCGGGAAAAAAATTCAGCGTTTGCTTCCGCCTTAAATACGATCCACTTTCCGATCGGAGGATATATTGACATGGCCGAATGATACGAGGATGTCGGGGAAGTTGGAAGTCTCGCCGGTGGAGGCGAGGTAAAGCCTCGGTGTTGTGGAGAGCGTGTACCTGGTCGAGCAGAGCGACGACCGCGATGAAGCTCGGCGGCGGTGACTAGCGGAAAAGGAGTGAGCCTAGGGCCGGCAGATTGCGACGGAGGATATGAAAGATCCCCAGTACAGGTCTCGTCGTCGTACGGAAAAAGTTGAGTCTGTGATATAATGGCTAAAGGAGCAAAACCGAATGCTGGAAAAACCTCAGTTCCACGAAAGAAGTTGGCTGTATATATACACGTATGTGCTTGTTAAGGTGATTAGCTGACGGGCTCCACCTGGGCCAGACTGATTGATTATCTGATCGTGCTCCTCCCGAACCTTGTTAATAAAACATCATTTAATGGAAACGCCATCATTTCGCAATACTTTTTTATCGACATTTATAAAATATCGCCAAAGTTTTGCACAAATCTGTAATGGAAACGCGCCTACTGTCCGCTTGTTGTTGAAACATGCTCTCTTGCCCCCTGCGTACCCTCTTGTTAACCTTCGTGGTTGATTACATAGCATCAAACTCATAAGCCTAATTTCACAACCATTGCTTATTCATCCTAACAAAGCAAGTTGCAAGTGCAAGCATCTTTATATCAAGGAATATATGGTATTAACCTAAAAACAAGCAAATAAATTGCTCATGCAACTATGCTCATTCCTAGCACTTGCTGCCATTTGAGTCCCCATGACATAAGCTGTGTCCCAAAGTCAAGTGCACGGACACCGAAGTGCGCATTTGAAGTGCAATTGTGTCACAGCGGTGCGACGAAGGCTGTCCCAATTCAAGAATGCACCCTACAAAGACCGCATTCCAAGGCTGCGTTCCAGTCCATTTTTTTATGCCCTTCACTCGCAAACTTCCCTCCGTCTCGTTTACTCAGATGTACGTCATTGATTACGTTGCACGAGTGCCCACTACTGGCGGAACCCTTGGAATGTGCTGAACTGGAACAACCTAAGCACTTGATCACTTAGAATCCGCTATGGAGTTGGTTTATTGTTTACATGTTTCCCCTTACGAATTTGTTTGGTGCAGCATTCTATATGTATATAGATATGCTTGGGCTGTTATAAATGTAAAAAAAAATTCATTCATATATTATAGAGTTGTTTCGGGTGGGGATAAATTAAACGCAATATGCGATGACGTCATAGTCATGTTGCATTGTGGTCTATGGAGTGGCCTGAAGTGTGCATATGAAGCAGACTCGCTCCATCGGTCAAAATTGAGGGGTCGAGGATATGTCCATGTAAACTTCCCTCGTCCACTTGACGAAGTGGAACGCACTTCAAAATGGCGGTGGGGATTCCCCCGAGGGTAAGTGCGTAGGGAAGTTCGCGAGTGCATGTCTAAAAGTGAACTGGAACGCAGCCCAAGGCCGATTTGCGTCACCGCGGCGTGACGAAGGCTGACGTATTTCTAAAGCAACTTCAAATGCACCCTCCGTTTCCCGGGAAAATTATGATGTACATCAGATGTACAGATGTACATCTGATGGACACTTCGCACCCTACCATATCCCAGAATCACTTGCGTGCAGATGATGGAATTTATATTCAAAGAACATGGAGGATGACAGTTCTGTGGGGTAATTCACATTGAAATGTAAGTATTGTGTTTTCATTTACTCAAATACCTAGCGAAACAAGTATTAAAAGCCAGGGTTTAAAAAAAAAAAAAAAGCCAACAAACAATAAGACAACCACTATATAAGGCAATAGCCTTTCTTTTTGTTGTGTTTTTGTAGTGCTGTCATGTCTACAAATGTTTTAACCAAACTTTAGCACTTAAGTATTTTGTATGCATGTCCTGCTGTGTCATATTTTCTAATGTTAAGATTGCAAACCTCTCTTTATATTTTCCATAAGTGTATCCATTTTCTCTTGTTTTAGGACTATTCTGGAGAGAATGAGCCTGCTGGGGAAAGACTTGCTGAAATTGATTGTGCTGTTGTTGTTATCAGGCATGGTTTATTTGCTCTGCCTTAGGATTGCAAGTGTCCTCGGACAGGTGAGGGAGTGAGTGGAAGCTGGTGGATGCCTTAGGATTGCAAGTGTCCTGGGACAGGTGAGGGAGTGAGTGGAAGCTGGTGGAGCTACTCAGGGAGGACATCAAACTCCAGAGAGAGACAGAGGAGAGAAGAGCACAGGGAGAGCAAGGAGAGAATGGAGAGACTGTTTTCTCTTTTTGAGAGAATGCTTAACAAATACATTATTTATTAGGCAAGAGAAAGCAGTGGAAAAAATGGGTACATTACAATTTTTCAATATCTTTTTTTAAATGTCACATTGTCAATGAAACAACCTAATTTATGTAGTTTATTTTTGTGATAGCTTTGTGAAAGTTGTATACATTATTCATTTTTGTAGTGTAATTTATTTGCAATTGAGCCTGAGTACTGTAGGATATCAGACCGAATCAGACAATC